TCGGGGGTATATGTGTCGACCCGTCAACCTTTCTATGTGACCTATGGAAGTACTAATCCTACCTTGAACACGATCCCTACCTTATTAGACTCCTTCTTTGATTCAAACAGTGATTTGAATACTTGAGGTGAAACACCAACTCCTTTTCCTACGAGGAGAAGGATCGTGGCAGAATAAGTCCTCCTAGGACTCCACCGCTGACACCTATAAATACACAACCTGTGCTCATTCCAAAGGTACGTTCTTCATTATTATCCTCAATTTATAGCCTCACGCATTAAATTTCCTATCTGACTTAAGTATCGGAGGGGCAACGAGCACACACCTCGTTGCCTTTGTTTCAGGTACTGGAAGGCGCAGTTCGTGTTCCATCTCCGTCATCAAGCTCTGGATCTTCAGATGATATTTTTTGGTAGCATCAGATAACAATCATATTTTTCATTTTAATGGACAAATAATGAGAAACAAAAATGGGCTATATCATCGAAATGGCAAGGATAATCTCTATTATAATTTTGATGCTTGTGTGGCAAAGTTTAATAATTGAAGCTTAACAAATATACTTTTATCTACACATTTTGTATGATTCACAACTTACGGTCAACTTATTCTTTATACATTTCGTAAAATTCACAACTTATAAGTACTTAAAAGTATAACCTAACAAGCACTTATGTTGTGAGGGTTTAAACAATTATCAATAATAATAAATTCATTTCTATTGCTTAGCAAAAAGTAGTTGCAAAAATAAAGTATTTAGAGTTCTCATCATAATAATAGGAGTGTAATTGTTGGTGAAATAAGATTTCATGTCTATCGGAAAAACCCTTTATACTTGGTCAATCAATCTTATTGAGAGTTTGTCAATATGTCGGAAACATAAATTTAGGATTCGAAGAGTTGCATTATTTTTCTTCCCGTGACCAAACAATTGACAACACAAAAATGAAGAATTTACACAGATTCTTGATTCTTCAAATTTTTCTAAATTTGGTCCCCACCAATTCACGTAAAGTCTAAATTCAGGTTCTCTATGTAGACAAGAAATCATTTTCCTAATTAGACAATTAATTAAGACTCATTACTGCTTTCAAGGAAAGACCATTGACTTTCTTGATCAGATGCAGTATGTGGGCTGCTTCAATGGGGACACAGATAAATTTGTACAATTTGGGCATCTTATACAGGTTCAATGTACATATACAAACCTGCCAATTGTCCTACAAATTAAATATAGTCCACATTGAATTATTGAAAGAAATTAAAAATGATTGAATTTATTCTTCTCTAATCGTTAAGCCATTATACGAGATAGTTCAATAGAGTCCTTAATTCGTATTTCATTGCACCCATCTACAATATATTAAAAGTGAGGAAGGTGGATAAACTTTTAAATAACAAATTTATCCCTACATATTTAACTATATGTCTATTATACCCTCATAATTGGAATACCAATTTAATTAGTATTTATTATTTGGTTTAGAATTAATATAATATAAGGAGTGAAATATTTAATTGATATTTATCGTTTTGGATTTGAATTAATAAAAGGAGTCAAACTAACATTCAATTATATCAAATTAATAAAAAAAAAAAAAATCAGTGACTTATCATTCAATTGACCATTTTGTTTTTACAATTTTTATTTTCACCAATGAATCAATTTTTATTTTTATCAACAAAACCCTTAAAAATCTTCATGATTTACATTATAATTCATGTAATGATTTTTTATTTTTTTATCAACTGAGCAATTTTTATCTTCATACTTTACAATATAATTCATCCACTAAGTTATTATTTAATTGAGGTTAAAAATATATTAAAGGTCACATTAATATATTAATGAGGAAATTCAATGAATAAAAAAGAAACTACACACTGTAATTCAATTACTAACATTCAATTGATTTTTCCTTTACAATTTTCAATTTTCATCCACAAAGCCCTTATTACCAATTTAATTAAAATTTGTCATGTGATTTAGAATTTATATAAGTGGTGAAATATTTAATTGATATTCATCATTTGAGTTGGAATTGATATAAGGAGTGAAACTGACATTTAATTATTAAAAAAAATCAACGGAAAATTAGTTACTTATTATTCAATTGAGCAATTTGTTCTTACAATTATTATTTTCTATCAACAAAGCAATTTTTGTTTTTTTCATCAACAAAACCCTTATTAATCTTCATGATTTACATTCTAATTCATCCATTGAGTTTTTATTTTTCATTAACAAAGCAACTTTTTCATCAAAAAAGCTCTTATTAATCTTCATGATTTACATTATAATCCATCCATTATGTTATTATTTAACTGAGGTTACAAAATTGAAAGGTTGCATTAATGTATTAATGAGGTAACAAATGTGCTGAAGTTTGCACTAATATATTAATTGGGACATTCGATCATTGAAAAAAAAAAAATTTACACACGAAAATTCAATGGCTTATCTTTCAATTAATTAATTTTTCCGTACATTTTTTATTTTTCATCAACAAAGCCCTTATTAATATTCATAATTTATATTATAATTCATGCATTAAGTTATTATTTAATTTATGTTGCAAAATTGAAATGTTGCATTAATATATTAATGAGGTTAAAAATATGTTAAAGTAAATAATTTCTAATTATTAAGCAATAATCTTTTCTACTTTCAATCACTTTTACCCTACATATGAATGATTGAGAAACATTCAATTTATTATTTCATTGTGAAAATTCTTATTTTTAATCAACAAAGTCCTTTCATAATTTAAATTATAGTTCTTGCATTAAGTTATTATTTGATTAATATACCATTCATCGATACATAAGATGTGCAACACACGTGCTTACTACTAGTTTAAAAAAAAAGTTGTGCATGTAAAACGATTTTGATTGCACTTAAGGGACATGTCAAAAACAAATTAACAAACTTTCTATATGTTGTTAGTCGAGATGGTTGTATTGAATATGGCATGGATATTCACGTTTAAACCCTGATATTTCACTTATGCTTGTTTGATGAACTTAAAAAAACTCACTTTTAAGTACTTATTTTTATTTTACTTATAAAAGTAGTACTTTTCATAAAATGTAGTTGTAAGCAATTTATATTTGCTTTATACCTTTAGTATAACTTCTTGATGATCTTCGAGTAGAGACAATAGTTGACTTGTTTTACGTCTCTAGTCTACTTTTCGATTTTTATTTTTATTATTTTTTCTTTTTTTCTTTTTACTGGATTGTGTTAAATCACATCAACATGACATGGGGACCATGACGCACCAAAAAAAAAAATATTGGCACACCGTCCATTTTAGTCTAAGTCGGTTCATAAACATTTTCTGTTTCGAAATATAATAATTTATTGATGCTGCACTCGCTTGCAAAGGAGCCGTTTTATTAATATTAATTTTAACAGTCAATTTCGAATAAAGTAATTTATTGTATAAAAACTATTTATTATCGTGTATGAAAAAGATAAATTATTTCAATTTATTGTGATATTAATGCATATCGGAAAGATAGATAGACATTATCAAATAAAAATGATTTTTTTACTGTCTAATTTTATATAATATTATCAAACGTGTTTGATTTATATGCATATATCGACAATTTCTTGATCATAAAAATTGGAATATTTACCATTTTTTTCTACCTTCAAATTTTATTTATTTAGGGCCTATTTGATAATGATGATGAGAATTGATTTTTTTTTTTTTTATCATTAGAGAGAAAAATGGGTTTCATTTGTGAGTAAAGAAGTACAAAATAACTTTTAGAATAATGAAATAACGGTCAAAAATTCTTATTTTTTAATCAACAAAGTCCTTTCATAATTTACATTATAGTTCTTACATTAAGTTATTACTTGATTATATATATGACCGATCTCCTAAAAATCGGTCTAAGCACTCGAGTAGCGTGACACACTACAATAAATGCTAAGTAATAATAGTTGATTACAAAAATGATTATACTACCTATCGTTGTGTGACACGTCATCTGGTGTTTGTATAAGCTAAGCTCATTTTGGTGTTGTGTTTAGCATAAGTTAAGCACCGACATTTTGAAAATCAGTCATATATATATACACACACTTGCATGTTGTGCATATTTATAATGAATAAATGGTGGAACTTCATAGTGATTAAAATAAAGGCTTACATGTATATATTATAATGTATGAATAGTTGAACTTCATAGTTATTAAAATAAAGACTTAACGTGGAAAATGCGTGTAAACGTGGAAGGAAAGCGAGGGCAGAATATTAAAAAAGGGCAGTCCACACAAAAATACATAAATACAATGGTCAATATTGTTGTTATTGTTGGTTTCTTATATCTATTATTTACTTCTCTTATTTCTCCTTCTAAAGGTGGGCTTGACTTTGACTAGTTGCAAGCATTTCAATATCCCAATTTTTATATTTAAAAATTTGTTTTTTAATTCTTATTTATTTCAAACTGGACATGATGATTCAAACAAATTATAGTAAAAGATAAACACATAGTCGAATTAACAGCAAAAACACAATATATTTCGTAATATACCTTGAGTCTCATCCTACGGAATTTGAACAAATAATTTACGTCAGTAGATATTTTGTTCTAAGTATTAGTAGAACAAAAAATATATATATTTATTTTCGATCTTGTCTAATTCAGCCTACTAATGTAGTTTGACATGCCATGGCAAATATTTTTCAAGTCAAGATAAATTTTATATATTTATTTGGGTTAACAAACATCATATTCGATAAAAAAATAAAAAATTTGTTCGTTATCTTTTCGTGTCATGTTTATTTTTCATTTACCTCTTTGTCGTATAGTTTGTTTTATTGAGATAGTATCTATTTTCTAAATATAAAACTTGTCAAAATATATTTCATGATTTCGACATATCTCTTTATTTTATTCACTTCCATAAAAACCTACATTACTTTTCTTGCTAGTCCAATTGCTATAAATATATGTCCCAAAGCCATTAGTTTATCACTTTTCCTTCATCTTCCTTCGTACCTTCCTACAAGTTGTGAGTCTGGTTCTTGAATACATATTTTTATTCATTTTTGTGCTGAAAACATTGCATATATAAACACCGAGAAAGTTGACCAGATTAAAAGCATTTTCTGAAGAACATCTTTTTGAAACTTCATATGGAATTCAACAGCCTGCTAAATACTTCATTGGATCTCAATGCCACACCTTTAAGATTTCAAGATGAGGTGAGTATAATTATTTGATTTTTTTCTTCATGTTTGGAATTGAATCTATGAGCTTTAGAGTGTTATGTATCATCAAATTCTTCGATTCATTATACGATAAGAAAAGATTACAAATTTATGGCTCCTAGAGATCATCTCAAGATGATTCTGGACGGTCCAAGGTTGACTTAAACCCGTTGAAACAATAATACCATTTTTTCGAGCTTATACATGCTTCTAAGCAACACTCGAAGTCTTTGAGCCCGAGGAATTTTATCCGAAATCCCTAGTCTAGAGGGTTTTAAACGGTTCGATATTCTTCTTGAACCAACGAGTCTTTCACCTATTGTCATTCCTAATTTGCACTTTTATTACTGTAAAATCATTTGATCTACATACATTGCAGCCAATACAACATATTTTCTTGATCCGTATTGAATATTTTCTTTTCATGATTTTAATCAGAGAGGTGCTTTGGTAGATGAACTGAACCGAGTTAGTGCTGAAAACAAGAGGCTCACAGAAATGTTAGCAGTAGTGAGTGAGAATTACAAAGATCTGCATAACAAATTAATGGAGAATAATATCAAGAATCCAGGAATGGATAATACTGCAGCATCAAGAAAGAGGAAAACTGAAATCAATGGCTCAGCTTCTGAGAGCAGCTCTAGTGATGAAGAATCATGCAAGAAACTAAGGGAAGAACACATCAAAGCAAAGATTTCTCGGGTTTTCATTCGAACACAAGCCTCCGATACTAGCCTTGTAAGTCCACACTCATTATGTTGAATCACCTCCTCTAAAATCTTAGGCTATTAAAGAGAAAATAAACTTTTGAATCGTGTTCTCTTGATGAATATTGTATATTAAAAAATTGCAGATAGTTAAGGACGGATATCAATGGAAGAAATATGGACAGAAGGTGACTAGGGACAATCCTTGTCCAAGAGCTTATTTCAAGTGCTCTTTTGCTCCTACTTGTCCAGTCAAAAAGAAGGTAAGCCACAATAAAACCTCAGTTAACTATCAGTTGTTTGCAGTATAGAAGGATGTCAATTAACTGTGACGAAATAATTTCGCAGAATGAACTGATTGTGTATCATTGAGATATAGGAATTCGTGTTATGGAATGATTTTATGTGATCGATTTCTATATATGGGACTCTAATTAGAAACTATGTATCATATGGCATTTGTATCATGAACATATTTTTGGCAAAAAATGTATAGGTGCTGATTGGAGATTGATGCTCATTTTGGAAAAAATGGAGTTTTATACTTTGATTTTTATTAGGAAAAGAAAAACCTTACAATCATTTCTTAAGTTCAAAATACCCATAGAGAACATCTCATCTCCCTTCAAGACATCTTTAGGCCATAACTTGAAGACACATTTGAATATTTATTTTCATTAGGGACATGTTTGGTACAGTATACTAACATACAATATAATTGACAAGTTTTTAGCTATAATATTGTCTCATACATTCTAGCGGAGTTGAATATTGCGTACCAAATATGCATCAAAATATGTGCAAGTAAAGTGGGAGCTTGGCTCTAAGAAAATTTTAACTTCTTTAGCATTCTAAACTGTTGAGACTCGAACCCGGATTGTGCTCCCATATTTTTCAGATTTTAAAACGCATTTTCAAAACACGCTTTTATAATTGGCAACTCACTGGTTGATGACACCTGGCGTATTTTCTACCGTTGGATGAGCATTTGGCTCTGATGATATAAAAGGCAACTTGGACGATCCGTTTGGCAGAGAGACTTTTCATTCTTGTAGCTTTTCCTACGAAGGTGTTCGAGAGAGTTCCATTTTTCTCTCTGTAGCTAGGGTTTCTAATTTCCCTCATTTTGTTGAACATCGCATTCGAAAACTATGATTTTGATGTTTTAGCCATAGAACACTAGTATTTTCTGAAGTGAAAATTTTATAAGAACGAGAGGGTTCTCATGTGTTGAGATCTGAGAGAGTGGTTTGTTGATTCTTGAGTGATTTGAGGCATATCTGTTGATTTCTTGAAGAGATAAATCCCTTCCTTTGTGTATTCTTGTATTGGCTGAATATTATAACCTTTATTGCTAATTTTTAAGGCATTTAGTTCAACCGAGAAATATCCAATCTTGATTGGATGCTCAACAGGAGATTAGATGTTTGAAAGAACACCGAACTTCTGGAGCTTCGACCAAAAAAATTTTGTTGTGCTCATTTTATTTTTTTGCAAGTTTAATTTATATTTTATTATTGATCGACTGTATCTTGCAATTAATCGTGTGAGTTTGGTCCCTTTTCATAAACCTCCTTTCATTATTTTTTGCAGGTTCAAAGAAGTTCAGAGGATCAATCCATTCTAGTTGCAACTTATGAAGGGGAGCACAACCATCCACAAGTGTCCAAGCTTGAGATGACTTCGAGCTCGAACCATTATGTGACACTTAGCTCGGTCCCTTGCTCGACCAGACCGCCCATTACCCTTGATCTAACCAGACAAAAGACGAGCAGCAAAGTTAATAGACCAGAATTCCAGCAGTTTTTGGTTGAACAAATGGCTTCTGCGTTGACTAAAGATCCCAACTTCAAATCAGCACTTGCAGCTGCCATTTCTGGAAAATTTCTTCAATAGACTGAAATGTAGATGGTCAAATGAAGAGCGCCTTTTTTGTCATTTGACTATTGGAAAGCATTAACTGAACCAATTGATGCAAATTCATGCTGACAAAAAGAACCAAAGAGTTGTAAACAAGTTTGGATTAGTCTTCTTTAACTAGAAATAACCCAATTTGGAGCAAGCTCCGACCTTGGGTTTAATAGGCTCGATCTGGTCCATCTAAGCTCACAAATCATGGAATGAACAATGTTAGACAGATAACGACTCTAAGGCCCTTTTTGATTTAGATAAAAACCATTTTTATTGGGTAGATTTTCGTAATATTTGATAGAATGCGTGGTTAAAAAGTTGTGGATCCTATAAAATATATTATTTTAATTAATTGTTGATTTCGGCTTAAATTTTAATCTAATTTTTTAGTTGAATTCAACATGTTCTTCAACAAACGCACAAATTATCCTAGAAAGTATAGATGTAGAGAAAAATAAAAGAAATAGATAATGATTCCACATTGAACAGTCTGAAGAATATTTTTTGCAGTAATTGCAGACCTCAAATATCATTTTCCTCAGGCAAATTCTCTTTATATAATGTACACAGAAAATAAATACAATATTCATAACAATTTGTACATAAAATTCATGCCAGCCATCACGCGATGGCGTGTAGGAAACTACCCTTCCACATCATACCATTGCGAGTACAAACCGTCTGACAAATACTAAGTCGATAAACTCAAGTCATCGATAGCTGTAGCTAACTCGTATTCAGCAATGTCTTCGGGTTGTTTCCCTTCAATCTTCTCCTTTAGGCCATCGTCCCTGTCCATTACACCACCTTCAGCTATACATTCCTGATATCTATAACAATTAATGAGATGGTCATTTGTTATTCCGGCAGCTTGCATAAACGAGTAAACGACCGTAGGCCCGACTCCTCGAAATCCTCTTTTCACCAAATCTTTGCTTATGGTATCAGCTTTCGACGTCTTGATTGGAACCTGTCGCGGGTAGCGAAAATTACCTGTTACGGGCTTGAAGTTCACAAAACCCCAAATGTATTTTTCGAAAGACCCAAGCTCATTTATTATCTGCATCAGGAGAAAGCACAGAAATATGAGAATCCTGTTTGAGTCCCATTCTTTTGAAAAAAAAAATACGTTTTGAAATAGTATTTTGACATCATTTCAACGACACATTTTTCAACAAAATAATATTACACGCAAATCCAAAATTTTTTCTTATTTTTTAACCACTCATTTTCCATTAATACACTATTCAAAAATGTATTCTTATAAAAAGAATGGGGCTCAAACAAGGGCATGTGACTGATAAACTGTGCTGAGCTTAAAATTTTCACACTGCCATCTTTTACTAATAAACACAATTCTGCTGCCACACATTAAATGTCCCAGTTAAACACACCAATGTATAACCGATTATTTGAACATACATTTCTCTTTCTCTCTCCCTTTTTTTTTAACCCTTTGAAGTGGAAGATACATATAAATGGTCAACTAATTAGACAATTCATTTTATAAGCTGTATAATTTCCAATATATTTGGAACATGATAAATACTCGTCTCATCTTATCACGTCTCACTTTTAAGTACTTATTTTATTTTACTTATAAAAAGTAGTATGTTTCTTAAAATGTAGTTGTAAGCAATTTATATTTGCTTTATACCTATAACTTATTGATGATCTTCGAGTAGAGACAATAGTTGATTTGTTTTACGTCTCTAGTCTACTTTTCGATTTTTTATTTTTATTTTTATTATTTTTTCTTTTTACTGGATTGGTTTAAATCACATCGACATGACATGACATGGGGACTATGACGCACAAAAAAAAAAATATTGGCACACCGTCCATTTTAGTCTAAGTCGGTTCATGAAAACATTTTTTGTTTTGAAATATATTAATTTATTGATGCTGACACTAGCTTGCAAAGGAGCCGTTTTATTAAATATTAATTTATCAGTCAATTTCGAATAAAGTAATTTATGTTATAAAAACTATTTTAATTCATCGTGGACTCCCTTTTGTTGTGAGGAATCTGTACATCGGGATGTCAACTTCGATGTACAAATATCAAAATCCTTTTATTTTTGACACCGCTTAAGCAACTGGGATCCAAGTAAAATAAAAATCTGCCACGTCCTATAATAATCAAACATATTCGAAGGTTGAACTACATATTTTAACCTTATATTACATTCTCCAAATACACACCTCATGACAAACATCATTGAAATATACACGCACATGTTTTGCATGTACATGTGTGTTCAACACTGTATAAAGTTGGATTGATTTTGTTACGCCCCCTATCTGAACCGCCTCGGAACGCTCACCACCACACATTCCGACTCGATAGACACTCGTCCGAAGTGTTTCCGAAGTGATATCACCAATGTCAACAACCTAATAGCACACTGCGAGGTATAGGTGATCCTGCTGAACTGATCGAAACTCCTCGTCTCGAGGTCGAGGCCAAGTGGACCCCTGTCAGAAGATCCGCCGCCAATTTCAGAAAGAGATTTGTGTTAAGATCCTCTCTGCACCTAAGGTTTAAATTGATTTGACGTCTCCATGATGCTAGTTGATGTGACTTATCAACTTTATGTCAATTCAACTCAGGAGAAACAAGCTGCTCGCCACCCCCGCTGGTCCGGTCGTGTGCGTCTGACCGTGCGTTGATTGTGCGCAGGGAGGAATACGTGGAATAGCTATCGGTTGGCCACGTGGAAGGTCCAATTTTCGAGGTCAACAGATTGGTGCCGTCTGTGGAAAACACTTCACGTTCAAAGTTCTGCATTCTCCACCAGAGAAGTTGCCGGAAAACTAGCGATTAACCCTGAAAAGGGTACGTTCTTGAAAAAAAATAAAGTCGAGTTATAATCCAAGTTCTCACCACTCTTGAAAAAAGAGATAGGATGAGTTATAGCCATGAAGACGACAACCCCGTGAGAGAGGTCTCTGAAGAAGAGGTACTTCATAACAATTTTACTCATCAGAGACCACATCACCGGCGTCGCCAAGGTGGAAGAACAGCCATGCTCACTGAATGAATTGCTCAAATAGCTGTGGGTATGAGAGACATCGCAGCTCAGAATATGGCAATGCATGAACTCCTCATGCAAGCCCAGGGTCATCAGGGCTATCAAATGCCTCAAGGATCTTATCCGGTGCAAGAAGCCCCTATATCTCACTCCCGAGGCCACATGAGGCGGCACACAGAACGCCCCCTCGAAAGAGAGATGACGCCGAAGCCACATCTTACGTGCAAGGGAACCAGCCATCAGAACCACACTTGAAGGACAATTTTCCTCAAGAATATGAGGAACAGAGGTCGGTAAGCGTCTTCGACCGGATCGGGGAGGGTCCTAGCAATAGGGTCCGCCCAGTAAAAGGATTAGTTCGGCCAGATCAGGAACAAGAACATGCTCCTCTTCCTCCTAGAAATAGGAGGGACATGAGGAACCTAGTAGATTGAGGGAGTCGAGGAGAAGCACCTCACCTTCCCAGAACATTCAAGATGATGAAGGGTCAGATGGGCCCTGTTGGTCTTATGAGATTGACGATGATGATGATAACCTCCCTTTCTGAAGGGAGATCCGAAGCTTCTCAATGCCAGCAAATTTTATGCCCCCTAAGATCCCCAAGTATGAAGGGAAGGAAGACCTGGAGAAGCACCTCACCAAGTATATGACACAAATGAGTCTTAGGGGAGCCTCGCTTGCTTTGAAATGCAGAGCCTTCCATTTATCATTGGGCGGAGCCGTCGAAGTGTGGTACAACAGGCTTCCTCCCCTAAGCATTAGAAGTTGGCCAGACTTGAAGAAAGCATTTTTGAACCAATATCTCTCACGCAGAAAAGGAGAGACACCAGTGCAATGCCTGCAAGATATGAGGCAGGCCCCTGGGGAGACGCTGAAAAGCTATCTCGCCAGGTTTACAGACAAAATCACCTACTGTGAACAGGTTACTGACAGAGAAGCCCTTTTAACCCTGAAAGGCGGGCTCAACATGAACACTTTGTTCTGGAGGGACGTGCGCAATAAGAATCCCTCGACATATGACGAACTGGTGGAAATGATGAGAGTGGAAATTATGAGTGAAGAAATGATTGACCATCGCAACCGTGTCGAGCAGGGACTCCCTCCGCCTCAAAGGCAGGTAGGTCGAGGACCCATAGCACACCTTGTTGCTCAGCAATGGACTCAAGCAGGTCACACAATAGCTCCCACCTCTGGACAGGCGCTGGCTTCGGCCACATTGAATGCAGTGCCGGTGTTGGCATATGAGAATGTTCCTGCCGAAGCGGGACCATCCGAAAGAGCTGATAAGAAGAAGAAGAAGAAGAAGAAGAAGAAGAAGAAGAAAAGGTCAAACAAACCCTTGGAAGGGGCAAGGTTTTGTACGTTCCATCAACTGTATGGGCATGACACTAGTGAGTGCCGAGATGCCAATCGACACCCTGATCGAAGCAACCCACACCCTTCCAGCAAGAACGAGTATCCTCGCAGATCCGTTACCCCGAGCAGGGGAGCGAGAGGGCACAGAGAACAATCACCTTAGAGAAGAGAATCAAGGGACCGAGGTCAATCTAGACAGAGAAACCAGGCCCAATTTTCTGGGAGCCAAGTCATCAAGAAAATCGATACCATCATTGGGGGATCCCATGTCGGTGGCAACACTAGGAATGCCTAAAGAATTACACAAGGGAAGCAAAGGATCCACCAATGATCACTTACATTGTCAACGAGTCGCAAGCAGCCGATAGGATGGCCCCAATCACCTTCTCCCAGGAAGATGCAAAGGGGGTTCATCACCCCCATTGTGATGCATTGGTTGTAAGAGCCATAGTGGCTAGAAACGGACTGAAATGCATGCTCGTCGATAATGGCAGTTCCGTGACCATATTGTTCGGCTCCACTTTTGACAAAATACAAATTGAACATGGGTTGATCCCCATGATCGACCCACTATTCGGATTCACTGGAGACAGCATCGTCCCACGAGGGCGGATCACTCTGCCCGTGGAGATGGGTTCAGCACCCCTAGTGGCCACTTCATGGAATTTTTGGTGGTAGATCACAGATCGGCTTATCATGGAGTATTGGGCAGACTCGCTTTGAAAGATCTTTGGGCTGTCATGTCCATCCACTACTTGTGTATGAAATTTCCAACTGAACATGGGATTGCTATGGTCCGAGGTGATCAGATGGGCTCCAGGGCATGCTACTTAAACTCGCTGCGAAAGTCCAAGCCCCGAACTAAGGTTCCCGCTGAAGTCAGTACGGACGTGGAAATGCCCGACGCCCCTGAACAAGGGCATACCTCTGAACAAGAGGAAGACGTCGACATGGAAGAGGCCCC